TTGGAAATGGTTTTAGTTCTGGGTTGACAGAGAGTCCGGGGGCTGTGCTTTCTGGGGTTCCTCCAGTGTCAGACCATTAAGTCTGATCTTGATGAAAGAATTTTTGGTACAGTTTTAAAAAGATTATAAGAACTTTGGTTACAGTTTTGTTAGGTATACACATAGTATGTTAGTACAGCCTGAGAAGTTACAAATACTGCTGTTTTAATATGCTTTTCTTAAGACATATCAAATAACCTGTATAACATATGAACTTACTAAGACTCTGCAGTATTAAAGGTTTTTGCCAAGTCTGTAGAACCATTGCTGTTAGAAATAGTAAAATTTAGGCTGTGTAAGTGGTAAATGTGTCTAATGTCACGTATTTTGTGATGATAGGCCATTAGGAGTAAAATGGATGAGAACCTAATTAGCTTCCAAAATTTGAAAGAACCACATATATCAAGAGGTCCTGGAAAATAAAGCCATGTAATTGTAAATTATATTTCAGAATTACAAAGAAGAGTCCAGATGAAAACAAGAAAACTTACCTGCCTTCTTCTACCATTTCTTCCTTGTAATTCACATATGATTTTTCTGTACTATATATACCTCACATGTTCACAGGGGATGTCATTTGACTATATCTGAATCCTTGAAATAGGATATTTTATAAGGACTTACTTTATTTCTTATTTCATAGCATATAGTAAAATTATTGTTAGAAGATAAAACAAATGGCAGCACAGTTGATTATGCTGTATTTCCTTCGATCATTTAACATACGTTTTTATTCCTTGATTAAATTACTGACAGTTATTCTTTCCACTGTTTAATAGAATTCTCTCTTAGAGCGTCTGTGGTAGTTCTGTGATTTCTCTGAGAATTAATTTTAATGATTATTCAAACCAGGCATCAAATAATGAAGCCAAATAAATCTCATTAGATTTTATTACATAGAAAGTTGTAATATTGCATTCCCTTATGATTTTTAAACATTAGGAAAGACTGGTTAAATTCATTATTAAACTCATTTCATACAAATTTTAAATAGAAATTTTAAAATTCTAAAAAAATTAGGATCATTTTCATTAAAATGCTTTGAATTCAGTGTCTAGATATTGTGTTATTAGGTGCCGTTGAATCGATTCTGACTCGTAGGGACCCCATGTGACAGAGTAGGCCTGCCCCATGGGGTTTTCTTGGCTGCAATCTTTATGGAAGAAGATTGCCAGGTCTTTTTCCCCTGGAGCTCTTGGGTGAGTTCATACGGCCAACCTTTTGGTTAGCAGCTGAGCGCTTAACCATTGCGCCACCAGGGCTCCTTCTAGATACTATAAACATACTAAAAAACAATATTAAGTTTAGCTCCACTTTAAGAATTTTTCTTATTTTGAGTAATTTTAGACTCAGAAGAGTTACAAAAACAGTACAGAAAGTAAACAGTACAGAAAGTCCCCATATAGCCTTTTACCTAGCTTCCGCTAATGTTAATATTTTATATAATCATGGTATATTTTTCAAAACTAAGAAATTAACTTTGGTACAATAATATTATCTAAACTACAGTCTATTTGGAATGCAGAGCTTAAAGCATGTAGTAAATGTCCATAGCTCTCTATTCTAGGTGCAGCAAACCCTACTCTTGTATTTATTTAATCACCATAAGCAACATGCTTGACTTCTGTGATCTTAACCCCTCACATGAAAGTGCTGAATGGTATGTTAAAATTTTGTTATATGGATCAGTTTAAAGGTGTTCATTCTTTTTAAATGTCCATTTGATGAACAGTTACTGTGCAAAACTCTAGTTTTAAATTTTACATTATTTTACTCAGTGGTTTTTAAGTAGGGACTTAAATAAAAAAACATTTCTCTTTGATTTCGTTTAAAGCATTCTTCAAGTGAACAGTGTTTTCTTATTAGCTGGTCAGAAATATATAACTGAATATGTTTTTCATTTTGTTTTAGCTACTAGGATAGATTGACATAATAACTTCTTGGTAGTACCTTGTAAAGTATATTTGTTTTCTTTTAATTGTTTTTTTAATATAATTTTGTTTATTTTGTTGTTGTTGAGAATATACACAGCAAAACATACACCAATTCAACAGTTTCTGCATGTACCATTTAGTGATATTGATTACATTCTTTGAGTTGTGTAACCATTCTCACCCTCCTTTCTGAGTTGGTCCTCCCTCATTAACATAAACTCACTGCCCCCCTAAGGTTCCTTTCTCATCTTTCAAATTGCTGTTGTCAGTTTGATCCCATGTAGATAGTTCTTAAAAGAAGATAATGCTCAAGGCAGACTTTTTTTACTAGTTAAGCTAAACTCTTGTTTGGTTTTAAGAAGACATCAGGGGAT